CCTCTGCCTCCTGAGTGCTGGGATTAAAGGCGTGCGCCACCATTGCCCGGCTTTTTTTTTTAATATTTATTTATTATTATGTATACACTATTCTGTCTGTGTGTATGCCTGCAGGCCAGAAGAAGGCACCAGACCTCTTTACAGATGGTTGTGAGCCACCATGTGGTTGCTGGGAATTGAACTTAGGACCTTTGGAAGAGCAAGGAAATGCTCTTACCCTCTGAGCCATCTCTCCAGCCCCAATCTTTTCGTGTTTTGTCCTGTGTTTTGAGATAGGACTTCCCTACGAATGTTCAAACCTGCAACGTTCCTGTCTCAGAGACCTCTCGGGTGCTGGGATTCCTGGCACGCAGCACCTAAACAATTTTCTTCTGTATAGTTTGAGATGAGAATAAAAAGTAGGATTCTTAAAATTAAAAACTTAAATTTGGAAGTGAGATGCAAACTTAATCTCGACAGGTTGAGATATCTAAGTGAGAGGCCATTAGACCATACTGCCTCAGTTCAGTCCAAGGGCCTCAGTTAAAGAGGGAGCGCACACTCACATTCCAGCAGTTTAGCCAATCAGAAACCACCTGTTTTTTTTCCAGACAGGGTTTCTCTGTAGTTTTTGGAACCTGTCCTGGAATTAGCTCTTGTAGACCAGGCTGGCCTCCAACTCACAGAGATCCACCTGCCTCTGCCTCCCACGCACTGAGATTAAAGGCGGGTGCCATCACTGCCCGGCCAGAAAACCACCTTTTAGCGGTGATAATACCTTGCAAATGTTTTCCCTTGTGCTGCCTGGTGAAACTCAAATGTTTTGTCATTTGGCGAGGCCTTATTCTTGAGTTACTACTTTACCCAAAAAATTAATAGCAGGGGATGGAAGTATGGGTAATTGTGTAATAAATACTGGAGATGTAGAGGCAGGAGAATCAGGACTTCAGAGTCCGCCTGGGCTACATGTGACCCTGTCATAAAACAAAACAAAACCTCTGCAAGGACAGGGTCTCAACTGTGGATCCCTGGCTAACCTGGAACTTGCTATGTAGACGGAGCTTGACTCAAACTCAAAATATCTGCTGGCCTCTGCCTCCCAAGGACTGAGATGAAAGGCACTAACCACCACGTGCCTGAAAAAAAAAAAGTACAACCTCTTGATAGGCACCACCAAATGTCACTCTCAATCACCACATCCCTAGGAATTCCTTGCCTCGCTATCACCATCTTAATAAAGTGTACACCTTTCCTTCCATTGGAGTCATTCTAACTCCTCTGCCTCCCAGACCCTGTTCATCCCTTCAGCACGCCTTTCGGGAGGACACAGAACACTCAATCGCTTCCCACCACCTCCCACCTCCTGCAGAAGCCAAGCCACCGCCACCTCTTGCCTAGGTCACTTCAGGGAACCCATCGCTGGTCTCCCTCCTGTGGCCCCTTCTCACCCTTGTGCTGCAGGCTAAAATGGTTCTGAAAAAGAGTGGGCACAAGTCTCAGGCAGGTATGAGTGGTCACCAGGCTGAGGCAGGAGGCCAGCTGACAGAGACTATCTAAAAAGCAATGGCAACAGAGCAGGGTCCCATCTTGCAAACAGTAGGTTCCAATCTTGATGGTACTTTGTCTGCCTGACCCCTGACCCCAACCCTATTAGTTCCTCCCTCTGGGTCCCCTTCATCACACCCACCCACCCTCTGGCGGCTGGGCCTTGTGGCCTCCCTTGATTGGAATTGTCTGCCTTGAGGGAGTTCTCCAAACTTTCAGCTAGGGCATCCTCTGGGACACTTACTGTTATCTGACTTTCCTAGCTCTCCCGCCTGACCTGTCTTCTAGGAAGGAAGAATTCCTGCCGTTCCCTGATAGAACTCTGGAATGGAGAACAAAGCTGGGATTGTAGTGAGCCTGCGCCTGGCAAGCATTTTGTGAGGTATGAAAACAGCTCCTCAGTTGCGGGTTTCTTCCTCCTCTGTCCATGCGATGGCTCCTGGGCAGACCACCCGACAACCCCTGGCAAGATCCTAAATCCTTAGGTGAGAGACCTTGAGTCCTTGGGATATCAAAGCAAACAAAGCAAAACAAAACCCAAAATTCGCTTTCTCCTTAAACAAACAAACAAACAAACACTGTTCAACCAAGCACGCACACTCAAAGCGCACTCTAAGAGGAGACAACCCAGTTAGTGAGGGGAGTGTGCTGTAGCTGCTGAAGGCCAAGGAGATTCCCCGAGAGCAATAACAAAAGGGTGGGGGTCATAAAAGAAAGACCTCAGGGTATTTTTGTACTTATCGTACCTTTCCTCAACGGTCTGTGACGGTGGGCAAATTAAGGGCCGTCCCAGGTGGTCAGAAGCCACAGAATAGGGGCCTCGGGCCATGAATACCCAGACCACCTCAGCTAGTTAGCAACCCAGGCCTCCTGAGTCACAGCTCTAGAGATAAGGCTCAGGACTGGGGATGCTGGGAGCTCTCCAGGAGACTACCACTCGAGGACTGCAGTCTAGAGGAGGACAATGATAACATTTCTGGGTTTTTAAAAGAGAGAACTGTCTTTATTGTTTGAAGCATAAAAAAGAGTAAACAAAAGTTGGTGTTACATTTCATTTTTTATGTAGTCTTCTCAATGAAGGTATAAAAGTCCAGGGCCTCTCAGTTTTGTGAGCTTGTAAAAATGTCTAGACAGTCACACTCACAGGACAGAAAAGGCATTTACAACATGCAGCGAGACAGAAGATAAGCCCAGCTCATGGGTACATAGCTGGAACTAGTGGAGAGAATTCTCAGTTCCCACCCTGCCAGGCCTTCATTTTCTCTTCATTTGCAGGCCGTAGATAGCCTCTGGCCCCCACAGAAACATACGGTCTTTGTTCTCCAGGCCCAAAGCTGGCTGCCTTGGATTCGCCTCTTTTCGACTTTGATTTCCATTTGAAGATAAATATGCTTCACTTGTGACCAAGGTCATTTGGAATGCCTGCCTCCCTTTCATTTCAAATCACAATTCATTAAAATAAAACAAGATGCAGATTTTTTTTCTAAATAAAAATATGCCGATTCAGCAGCCGGCATCGCCCTAAGCAATAACACACGTGATTCATTTGTATCTTCATGAGTATATATTTTCATCATTCTGGCTATTGGGCACACTGAAATCATACAAACATAATCTCTGCGAACTCTCAACAACAGAGCTCAGTACGACGCAGTGTGTTTGCTCAGGCTGCAGTTGTAACTCAGGCTGTGTGGGTTCTCGCTGCTGGCAAACAAGGAGAACTCTCGTTCTGCTGCTGTTGCTAATCAAGCCTATTCTCTCTGTGGAAAATTTTCCGGGAGCCTCTTTCCAGGGCATTGATAATAAGGAGGTAGTTTTTCTGACCTGAACGAAACATGAGCTGGCTCAATAACGTATTTTCTGAGATGCTACCTGGAAGGAAGTGAATTATTTCGCATCAAGGGTGTGTTCATCTAAGAAATACATGAATTACCTTCAGGGACTGCCTGAACATGGTCAATCGAAATGATTTAACAATGAAATCTAGAGGTCTGGTTACTTTCCCGGTGGGGATTCACACTTTGGATAAAAACTGACATTTCAAATAATATGGGAGGGGGGGATTTAAATGCTTATAATTTCATTACTGCAATTATAACTGGGAAGAGCTTAAATTGATCCTTGACACTGATTTATGTGTTTAAGTTAGTTCTTAAAAAATGACTTCAACCTGTTGTTCTGTTGCTCACTCTCTGAAGAAGCTGTGGTAATGAGTGCAGGTGGGGGTGGACCGCTCGGCTACACCTGCCTGAGCGTCTGAACAGGCCTTCCTTTATTGGCTTGTGCTCACACACTTTCTCAGTCAAGTTCTCTGCTGGATGACATTGAAAAGCTTTTGCTGATTCTCAAGGCAGCCTGTCAGCTTATCTTCTGTCAAAGTCAGTCGCTGCTCCAGAATTGAAACCGTCTGAGGTGGGGAAAAAACCATTGAGAAGGCATTGGTGTTGGGCAACCTGGTGTTTAGAGTGATGGGCTTAGCTCTACAGCAGCCAGTCTTTGGACTTGAATATCAATCACCTGCTCCCAAACTGACTAAAAAATGGGCTCCCAACTTAGTGTGCTATTGTGCCCACCTGCAGAGCAAGCGTTCTCAAGTATTGAAGAAGTTAAAACAAAACCAACCAACCAACCAACAAATCCCCCCAAACCAACCAAAACAACTAAGGAGGACCTGACAGACAGGAGACAGTTAGGGAAGAAAGTGACCACTGTCCACTGAAACTGAATGTGGTGCCCGAGAGATCAGCAGTTTTTTTTTTTTTTAAAAGGAAAAAGCGTTTGGTAAACACAAGGAAGGGTCACCTGCGGCACAAAATTTCAAAGGGAAAATGGGTGTGCTTCATGGGGTTTTTAGTGAGCAAATACGACTTCAGAGTCTCACAGGGCTCTTCCTCCACACCCACAGACACGCTGCGTAACTTCAAAGAGGGAATGTGTAGGACAAAATGGGTCCTTAGTCACTGGTTCTAAACACTGGCAGGACCACTGAGTCTTCTTCAGTGCCTGATGGTTTACCTGAGACAGACAAGGGAAACAGCGTCCTGTGGACATTGTATGATTTCTAGCGGCTCAATGGCAGATGCACGACCAGTGTTGAGCACTGAGGGGATTTCTAGGCAGGGGGTGTTTGAGACTGAAATATTTATTCTGGGCAAGAAACTTGCTGCTCTCTCTCTCTCTCATGCATTTACTCCTTGCTCTGTGTAACGCGAGAGGCAGTGTGTGCACTGTGCACAGCAAAGATTACATGCACACACAAGGAGAACAAAAGATGTCTCTAAAGGACACCATCAGCAGACTGGGGAAACCATTGTTTCCTTTTCAACACAAGACTTCCCTTATGTTAGATCTATACCTCCCGAGAGCTGGGGGACTTTTTAGAACAGTATTTAAGGTCCATCGCACTCTTTGCTGTGCTAAATGGCCTTGAGACACTGGCTAAGATTCTAAAATGGGGACACAAGCCATCGGGAAGAAACTCTGGAGAGAGACATTGCACACCCGGCAGGCAGAGGGTTATCAGTGAAAAACTAGAAACTTGGTAGTATTTTGTACTACAAAGGAGGGTTTACTTACAATAAACTTTTCTATGCTATTAAATATTTCTTTATAAGTGACCAATATAAATATTATACAAATTCAAAGGATGAAACATTACTGCTTAAAACCAATTAACATTCATAGCAGAGTACCACTGCTATTTGCACAGATGCCACAGGATGCCACAGAGAGCACAGGGTACTGTACACACACACACACACACACACACACACACACACACACACACACACGGGGGGGGGGGAGAGGAACAGAGGAAGGGGGGATGTTTCTGTGATACTTTATAAGCTTGCTCAGACTAGCTTAGCCCAGAGTGTCTAGCTAATGACTACTTGAGTTTGCCTTGCCAGTCAAAATTCCCCCTGCACCGTTAGCCTCACCTGCTGCTATCCCCGGGCCTGCTCAAGGCAGAAGGTCAACCTACCTGTGTCAAGACGTTGAGCTGTTCCATGATGTGCTCTAGAGCGTCAGTCACAGCGAGCGGCACGCTTCTTTGGCTCTCCAAGGGGAGGTCACTTAAGTCTTCTGCTTTCTTTTTCACAGTGGTTGATGAGCGGTCTGGTATTAAGGAAGGGTTCAGGAAATATCCACAAATGTCTTCACCCTTCTCTGGTACAGCTCGGCTAGCAGAATCTGTTGTCTTTAATGCCATGGAAAAGGCAGGAGCAATTAGAGTCTCCAAACTTAAATAATACCCACACACATATGCATATACAAATATATATCTAACACTTCCAGGTTACAGCGAATCATTTATCTTCTTTATATAACAAAGTACATAAATAACAGTTACAATGAAGAAACAAAGCTAACAGTACGCAGAGAAAATTTACAATGTTTCTTCAGCTTCTGTGAAAGACTTCCTATATGTCTGCCTGGTCAGGAGATTTAGCATTTAAAAAGATTGCTGAATGAACTTTATTTTCAATTTAAAATAAACATCTGCCTCCATTAAGATGACTGTGAATCTCCAGGAAAGAAAAATAACAAGCGCTGGTGAAGATGAACAAAATTGAAGTTGTCGCCTTTCACTGCTTAAAGCAGGAAATGCTGAAGCCGCTATGGGAAGTTTGGCAATTCCTCAAAAAATTTGATCACAGAATTGCCATGCGATCCAGCAATGCCACTCCTTAATATACAGCCAAAGGAACCGAGGGCAGATGCAAAGAGCCAATATGGAAGTGCCAATATCCGTGACGGCCTGTCTCACAATAGCTTAAAAAAAAAGAGCCTGACCTATCAGCAGAAAAATGTGCAGACAAAACATGGTATAAATCGCGAATGACATCGTATTTGGCTACAAAAAGGAATTCTGATGATACTAACATGGGAAAATCTTGAAAACATTACGCGGCCTGAAGGAGATGTGTGACGGTCCACTTACACGTCGTACTTTACAGAGGTAGAGTCAGGGATGAAGGTTACTAGCCTCTGGGAGGAAGTAACATTGCTTACTGGGTAAAACAGTTTCTATTTGGAATGCCAAGAGGTTGTGGAAATAAACAGTGGTGACAGGACATTGTGAGTTTTCCGATAAATCTGCTAGTAGATTGCACGCTTAAAAGTGATTTTTAAAAAAAGTAACTTCTTTGTTACATATATTTCACTACAAGTCAAATCCTCCAGTTAGTCAGGTGGTAGTGGCATGCACCTTTAATCCCAGCACTTGTGAGGCAGTCACGTGGTTCTCTGTTCCAGGCCAGCCTGGACTACAGAAAGAGTTCCAGCATAGCCAGGGCAACAGAGAGAAACCCTGTCTTAAAAAAAACCCAAACAAACAAACAAACAAACAAACAAAAAAACAAAAGAAAAAGAAAAAAAATCCTCCAATTCAGTAACAACTGCTAGAATATAAACTTAAGAAAATAATTCCATTTAGAATAGCATTAAAAATTAAACTATTTAGGAATAAATTTTACAAACTAAGTGTCAGACTTGTACACTGGGAACAGTAAGGCACCTTTAAGTGGAACTAAATCTCCAATCAAACGGACAGACACCCGTACACACCTTTCACCATGACCACTCTACCAGGATAGAATGTACTCTCAAAGTCAAAGTGGAAACAAACTCCTGTTTCCTTACGTTGCTTTTGCTAGGCATTCTGTTGCAAACACAAAACAAGATAACTAATAAAATATACCAATAAAATCAACCAATCAGCCTGCCAGCCAGCCAGCCAAATAAACATATACACAAAAACAGAAAAACACAAAAGCTTTAGGTATAAAGTTTTACAGAGGATTTGAAAAGCACATCCCTTATGGAGCTGTCAGCTGGGATATCTGAACGACTTCGGTCCTCTGGACACAGCTGAGGACACAAAGCCGGCATTACCAGTGTTTCTCATTATTTTCATTTCTATGGAAACTGATCTACTTTGAAGGCATGAATGGGTAGCATAAAGTACAAATGAGATTTGTATAAAGATGCCCCTGTACTTTCACTTATCACTGTATGATTAAGAAAACACAGGCTCTATTACCAGGTCCTTAATGGAAGATCTGTTTTCTACCGCCCCACCCTGCCCTGGAAACCCATGCCACAGCAGACAACCATTAATTAATGATGTGAGCACTGACTACAACATCTGGGGATCAGGAAAGAGGCGGCAAGTGAAACAGAATCAGTGCTCGCTCTCTTCTGAACTAACTGTGAACTTCAAGTGCTGCAGATATAGGCTTTCTCAATATTCCAGGCAAACGCAACACCAATGTTTCCTGCCAATTCAATGGGGCAGATGCATGCTTTCTCAATATTCCGGGCAGATGTGACACCAATTGAGCTTCCTGCCAGAAAAACATGGTAGTGGTGGTAGGGCAGGGGTTGGAGGCAGAGGCTTGGAAAGCGATCGCTGGCTCAGTTTCATTTCGTTATCACGTTAGACCATCCACAGTGACGAATACGACTCTGTCACTGTCTGTCTTTGTTACATTTTTATTGATGTGACAAAATGACCAAGGCAACTTACAGAAGGGTGTTTGGGGGGCTTACAGCTCCAGAGGGACAAGGGTTCATCACTATCACGGCAGGAAGCATCATAGCAGGCAGGCGGGCAAGGTGTGGAAGTAGCAGCTGAGAACCCACCGCTCAAACTACAAATGGGATCCACAAGCAAAGGTAGAGGGCACACGGTGAATGGCGTGAATCTTTAGAAATCTCAAAGCTTGTTCCCACTGACACACCTCCTCCAACCAAGCCACACCTCCTGATTCTTCCCAAACAGTTCCACCAACTGGGGACCAAGTTTCAAACACACGAGCCTGTGGGGGCCATTCTCCTTCTTATCACCGCCTGCTCAACAGTATCCTAGTGACTACGGGAAGCCCACAGTGGCTCCCTCATGATAACTGTTAACCAACAACAAATGCTAGGCTAGGCATTCCTGTAAAGGTCTGTGCGCAGAAGATGTCTCTTCAGCAGAACAGCCGTCAGTTATAGCAAGTGCCATTGAACATGTTAGTATCAGCCGGCTCCTCCAGTCTTGCATCTCAAAGACAATTATTCCACAGATAAAATCCTGCCTGATACGGACAGGAAACCTTGTCATGGTTTTATTTATTTATTTATTTTTCTAAAAACTCATCAGTGATCACTTCATTATCCAATATGGGTACATTATGATTTATCTTATGTGGCTGTTTTTTTTCTTAAATATTTTATTTATTTATTTATTATGCATACAATATTCTGTCTGTGTGTATGTGTGTCTGCAGGCTAGAAGAGGGCAACAGACCTCATTACAGATGGTTGTGAGCCACCATGTGGTTGCCGGGAATTGAACTCAGGACCTTTGGAAGAGCAGGCAATGCTCTTAACCACTGAGCCATCTCTCCAGCCCCTTGTCATGGTTTTAATATCACTGTGAATTTCCTGAGTTATTGATCAGTGAGCATATTTAATATATATGTCAGTAAATTCTATAAACATGTCAATTTAATCTTTTGTCAAGTTTTAAAAAATTTTTGTTTTTGAAATGAAAGTATAATTACATCATTTTCCCTATTCTGTTTCTTCCCTCTAAATTTTCCCATGTACTTGCCTTCCCCATACTCTCAAATTCATACTTCTATGTCTTTAATTGTTGTTATACATACACCTAAATATATAACTACAACTTGCTCAGGCTGTGTAAAGTTACCTGAATGTGTATGATTTCAGGGCTGACCACTTGGGACAGCCGAATGGGGGCCTCTTTGCAGAGCAGACTATTTCCTTAGTTACCTACAAGTCTTTGTCTAGGGCTGAGGTCCCGTCTGCTTTCCCCTTCCATGTGTGGGAAGTCCTTCTGTCGAAGTGTTGCTTTCATTGGTTAATGAATAAATCTGTTTTGGCCAGTGGCTTGGCAGAATAGAGCTAGGTGGGAAAACTAAACTGAATACTGGGAAAAAGAAGGTGGAGTCAGCGAGAAGCCATGTAGCCCTGCCAGAGACAGACACTGGATGGAACTTTACCCTGTAAGCCACAGTCACGTGGCAATACACAGATTAATAGAAATGGGTTAATTCGCAGGGCGGTGGTGGCGCACGCCTTTAATTCCAGCACTTGGGAGGCAGAGGCACACGGATCTTTGTGAGTTCGAGTCCAGCCTGGTCTACAAGAGCTAGTCCCAGGACAGGCTCCAAAGCTACAGAGAAACCCTGTCTCGAAAAACAAAAAAAAGAAAAAAAGAAAAAAAAAAAAGAAAAAAGAAATACACTTAAGCCATTGGCCAAACAGTATTGCAAATAATATAGTTTCTGTGTGATTATCTCATGGTCTGGGTAGCTGGGAACAAACATGCAGTCTCTGCCAACACATGTCTACTGGTGTCGTCCTTGTGCAGATCACGTTTAGACAGCCACATTGGTGAGACTTCATGGATGTAGATTCTCTAGCATTTTCAGAAGGGGAAATCTCACAGCAAACATCCCGTTTCCTCTGGCTCTTACCATCTTTCTGTACGATCCTTCAGCCTTAAGGCAGAAGTTGTGTTGTAGATTTAGCAGCTAGGTCTTGGCATCACATGGTCGGTCCCTTGTTCTCGGCATTTTGATTGGCTGTGGTTTTCTATAATGGCCTCTGTTGCAAAGAGACATTTTATTGCTGAGCGACTTTGCCAAGTTTTTAATTGGTTTATCTATCGTTTCCAATATACATTTAAGAGCTCTCTATACTCTGGATACCCGTCTCTGGTCTGTGTCTAATGCCCTATTACACTGGTTTGTTTTCTTTTTATCCTCTGAGTGTTTGTTTTCAGGGTGTTTATCTGTTTGTTTGTTTGTTTTTTTAAGATATTTTCCTGAGAAACAAACTTGCCTCAAATTTGTGATCCTCCTGTTATGATTATCATGAGCCTGTGTTATGATTCCAGGCATGGGAATCATGCCTGGTACTAAGTTTTTGTTTTTAATGTACCCAAGTTTATCAAACATTCCCTTTATTATTTGTCCATGCTTTTCTTTTAAGGAAATCCTTGCTACCCTCAATGTATAAACCTACTTTTCTCATTTCTTTCAGAGCTTTTAAGTCAGTGTGGCTTTTCATATTAAATAAGTCTTTAACCTATCTGGTCCTGGTAGTTTTTGTGGTTAAAAGTCAGGACATATTTTCCTTTTGACTTTTCAGACTGTCCAGGGACGAGCCCACCTTCACAGAAGT